AGAGAGAAAAAAAAACAAGGAGAGAGAGAGAGAGAGAGAGAGAGAGAGAGAAAAAAGAGAGAGAGAGAGAGAGAGAGAGAGAGAGAGAGACAGAGAGAGAGAGAGAGAGAGAAAAAAAGAGAGAGAGAGAGAGGGGGATAGAGAGAGAGAGAGAGAGAGAGAAGACAGCGCCCGTTAAACCACCCAGGCCCATAGGGCTGGTGGGATTTGAGTAATGCCAGGGCGTCCCAGCGATGCAGCAAGACACCATCCAGTGCCAAGGCCCCTCTGCATTCGCCCACACTCGCAGCCTTGCTCACTGCGCGAAGCTACTCGCAAAGTACCTACTCGCAAACGTCCGACCAAAATGACATGTCTTCCTATATGGGATGAATCGTGCATCCCCCGCGGCGGATCCAGGCCCTTTGCGATCTACGAGTAGTTCAGTTGCGAGTCGTGGGACGCGCTTGTCTCATCCGAAAAGAAGAAAAACACTATACGTATTAACTTTTGGCGTGTTCTCTTCTTCTATCAAAGGGCGAACCCAGGACGTCCCAGCGATGCCGCAAGACACCATCCGGTGCCGAGGCCACCCATGATCGGAAGCCGGGCAAGGGCTGCTAAATCCGTGGCTGCTTAAATCGACCTCCGGGAAGTTGTCTTCGTCCTTCTGGGAAGAAGCTCGTTGACTGTTTCGCGTGCCGCACCTCATTCTGGGAAGTTGTTCTTTCCTTCCGGGAGGGCCGTTTTAGCAGCCACGGTTTTGGCAGCCCTCGCCCAGTTTTCGACAGGAGGAGGAGGAGGAGTAGGAGGAGGAGCAGCGATGCTGCAAGGCAGCGTCCGGCAGTCGTCAGCACACACGTGCAGTCCTGTCGCTCGCTGCGCGAGGCGCCCCCCCGCTGGAGAGACAGCGAGCGGCCAGCGGGCCCGCAGTTCCACGACGACGACGTCGACGTCGACGACGACCACAACGACGACGACGACGATCACGGCCACGACGACGATCACGGCCACGATCACGGCCACGACGACGACGACCACGACGACGACGACGACGACGACCACGATCACGGTCACGGCAACGACGACGACGACGACGACGACGACGACGACCACGATCACGGTCACGGCAACGACGACGACGACGACGCCGACGACGCCCGACGACGACGTCCGACGAGGCGGGAGCGCCGTTCTGAAAAAAACAGCCGTCCGTCCCCTCGAGCCGTAGGCCGTGCGGCAGGGTAGGTCTGCAGCGTCCAGGGAATGACCCAGCGACGGTCCCCGTTTCGTAACGGGTCCCGCCGCACACGGATGTAGCTGATGTTTTTTTCCCTACCTAGGCTCTGCCTAGAAGGGTTCGTACTCGCTTGGCTTAAAGGGGCCGGCAGTGTAATGCGCCCCTGGCTGTTCCCCCAGGGTCCGCCCCGCGGTTCCCCCAGTCCCTTGGGAGCTTTAGCTTTAGCTTTAGCTTTTGTTTTAGCTTTAGCTTAGCTTTAGCTTAGCTTTAGCTTAGCTTTAACTTAGCTTTAGCTTAGCTTTAGCTTAGAGTTAGCTTAGCTTTAGCTTGGCGTTAGCTTGGCTTTAGCTTAGCTTTAGCTTGGCTTCAGCTTAGCTTCAGCTTAGCTTTAGCTTAGCTTTGGTTTAGCTTTCGCTTAGCTTCAGCTTAGCTTTAGCTTAGCTTTAGCTTAGCTTTAGCTTGGCTTCAGCTTAGCTTCAGCTTAGCTTTAGCTTAGGTCTAGCTTAGCGAAAGCTTAGCTTTAGCTTAGCTTCAGCTTAGCTTCAGCTTAGCTTCATCTTAGCTTCAGCTTAGCTTTAGCTTAGCTTTACTGTCACTACTAGGGGCTCCAACTCATAGGTAGGGTCGCACTGGGATGCTTTGTTTTGTATATCTATATAAGGCTTACCTACAACTATCTGTATGTTTGTGGAAGCAGGCAACTGACTGTCATTGCACAGGTGCAGCTGCTGCTCGTCCCCCTCTTTTTCTTCCTCCTCCTCCTCCTCCTTCTCCTCCTCCTCCTCCTCCTCCTGGTGGAGGGCGAAGGGCACATCTTGAAAGCCATGCGGTCTCCACAATCTGCGTAGCTGGTGGAGCTGTGCAGCTATGGCATGGTGAGTCGTCGGGACGTCCAGAGTGACACGCCCTGCCTGGCCTACGGACACGTCTGGTGGTGCGGCAGGGAGGAGGTTTTTTTGAGGACGAAGGATGGAGAAGGAGGAGGAGGAGGAGGAGGAGGAGGAGGAGGAGGAGGAGGAGGAGGAGGGGGAGGGGGAGGAGGGGGAGGATGGGGAAGGAGGAAGAGGAAGACGAGGAGGAGTAGGTGGAGGAGGGGGAAGGAGGAGGACGAGATGGAAGAGGAAGAGGATGACCAGGGTGAGGAAGTGCACTTATCCGATGGAAGATGTCAGGGAACCGTGCCATTACGAACGCTGGGGGAAGGCATTCCAAAATAACGCATTCTGCAGATTTTGCAGAGGGGTGGTTGGAATTGTGGAATTGGGTCGGGTAGTACGATGGTCCAGAGAGGGGAAGGGAAGAATGGAAAATGGACATGTAGAGGGACAGAGACAGAAAGAAAAAGAGAGAGAGAGAGAGTGAGCGAGCGAGCGACGAGCGAGAGAGAGAGAGAGAGGGAGGGATAGAGAGCTGGAGAGATGGGCAAGCCGAGCGTCATCACGTGTCCTCGAGCGGTCAGCCCTCGTTGCTGGCATCCATTCTTGCAGGGTCGAGCACTGATGATTTCGTTGGCAGACGGGCGCGGGGCCGACATTCCTTTCCAGCAGCAGCTCGGTGGCCCATTCGCGAAGTTATATGAAGTGCTTGTGAATGTGTGCACTCGAACCGCTCGCAGCACCGAGTCCACCGTCCCAACAGCTTGACAGCACTGGCATCTGCGGACAGGCTCCGCCAGGTATCGGACAATGTGTTGGACGAGTTTTTTTTGTTTTTTGCAGATTTGTGCCAGTGGGCAAACAGCGCACTCCTACGCGGTGAGCAGAGATGCCGGCGTGACACTGCTGGCAGAACGGGATGACGACAGCCTGCTGAAGGGGCAGGGGGACATCGAACAGCATTTGTTTGTTGACCGTGTTATGGATTGAGCGTCCCTGGCCACTGGCGAACTCACACTTGTCGCCCGGATATCGGGCACGCTCCACTATGCTCTTCGGTCGAGGACGCAACTATGATAGTGAAGTCAACGACTCAAGACAATCGTCCGCTCCACGCTGTGCTTGTTCACGACACGAGCACTGCTGCGTCTAATCAGCATGCCTGGGGCGTGCGCGGCACCACATGATCTCGCACGCGCTGCGCTTGTGCAAATTAGCTGCCAATGCGGTCTGCAGCTCGCGGAGGTACCAGGAATGCGCATGGCGTCTAGGTGAATCACCTGGCGTTAATTCTTCGAATGTACCTCGTTGCTCACATAAGTTGCTCGATCAGTCTTGATTCGCTCTGCCATGCCTGCAGGTGCTGGTCTTGGACGAGGCCGATCGCTTGCTGGACCACTCGTTCGTACTCCAGGCCCTGTGGGAGGGGGTTTCCCCACTGCGTCGTGTGATGTTCATGCGGGGTCTGATTGTGTGCTTCTTCGCTCCTTTTCCTGCTCTCTGGGCAGGCCTGGTCTGCGTGGTCCGGTTTGCATGACTGGCACCTTCCTCTCCTCCTCCTCTTGCGTCCTCTGATCCTCTTCCTCCTTCTCGTCCTCCCGCCCTTCCACCTCCTACCCCCATCCTTCTCCTAAGGTGCTCACCGTCAGTTTGCCCATCACGACAAGTAGGCTCGTTTGGTATATCAGTTCTGGTCTGGTTCCATGAGCGACGTGTATGCAGGAGTCGTCGGCCTGGCCTGGTGCGATGGGAGGAGCTGGTCAGTTCTGTGCATGAGGTTAACCGCACGTAAGTACTTTGCTTACGCCAATCAGGCAGCTCGAGCTTACTCAAGAGGTCCCTCCGCAGTCCCAACCATCCAGCAGCTGACAGCTTTCTGTGCAATGGGTAAGCCATGCCGTGTTGGCAAGCGAACCGTGTGAGTGTGAGTGTGAGTGTGGGACTTCGGCACACTTCGAATCTGGGCCGTCCATGTCAATCTGCGCCGTGGACACGCTGCGCTGACACTGTGCGCTGTTTGCATGCGACTGGGTCTTTTGATTGAGCATGGGCTGAAACCATGGAAAAAGCTGCGGCACACCTGTGCTACTCTAGATACCGGGTTGCGTCCTGGCATCTCGGAGGACCTGTTCCAAAGCAGGGGCAAGCAACCCAAAGCTCAGCAACGCGTGCATTGATTGCAACGTCCGAGCGCGTTTCCCGCTACAACGTGGGCCAGTCTGGGATAGGGCTAACGAAAGTAGCTAGCGGAAGCGTATTCTTACCGATGAAGTAGAAATATGTTTCAGTGCGAGCGCTCATTCTGTGTGCGTGTGGAAGTACGAGTTAGGTCTTCCTCATTGTAAGCGCTGCGGTGAGCATCAATTACCCTGGGAAGCGCCGCACCCGCGACCTTCTCTCGTTGGAACATTATCATTGATCTCATTCACTTGCGTTTCCAAGTTCAACTCCCCTACGTGAGGTGCTTCTCGTGGTGGCTCAGCAAGTGCGCTCTCGCAATCGGGATCGGGTTCTGGGCTCGCATTACACCCACCGGACAGAAACAGCATGGGCAATCGCACGGGTCATGTGGACGAGGCTCCCCAAACGCGTACCTTTGCATCGGTTGATACGTTCGCCATGCCAATTTGCTCATAATGTCTGCGTTCCCTGCATGCCGATAAGCGCGTGTAGAGCAAAGACCGCTGTGTGGGCTGTGCATTGACCAGCACATCTGCAGCTTACGCGACACAATCCAGTGCCGCATTAGGCGTCATTAGTTTCATCAAACTGGTAATTTGTACTTTGTCATACTCACTATTTTGATGTGTTGATGGGCCCGGGCGGCCAACATTTTGAATTTGAATCCATGCATGGCACCTGCAACTCGTTTTGTTTATGTCTGGAAGTCGTGTGTGTGTGTGTGTGATCGTGCCTGCTCATTGCATTTCGGATTTGCCCAGGGTGAAGCGCCATCTGCTATAATAACCACCCTGTCAACCTCCAATTCAGCTCACTGCGGTGCCAGTCCGGACCATGCTTCGATATGTGTTCGCCGCAGCTGCCTTGGTCCTCGCCGCGTCCTCGTCGTTGTCTTTCGACGTGACGTCGGCCAAGAACCGTCCAGTTTCGAAAGTCATAACGCTGCTAAAGGACATGCTCAACCAACTCGAGAAAGAGGCCGAGACGGACGAAGAGGTCTACGACAAGGTTGCATGTTGGTGCGAGACCAACGATAAGGAGAAAACTAAGGCCATCTCCGAAGCAGAGACCCGCATCAGGCAGCTGGAGGTGAAGATCGAAGAGGACACGGCTCTGAGCGCCAAGTTGACCGCGGAGATTGCACAGCACAATAAGGAAGTGGCTGCGGCCAAAAAGTCTTTGGACGAGGCCACAGCAATTCGAGAGAGGGAGATTGCTGATTTCAACTCTGAGGAGAAGGGGCTGCTGGAGGCCATCTCGGCGTTGTCTTCTGCTGTCGAGGTGCTCTCGAAGCACCACAGTGCGGGGGACACTGCGATGATCCAGATTCCCGCTGCGCGAATGAATGAGGTCGCCATGACCCTGCAGAAGCTCCTGGTGTTGCACGCCGACAAGCTGAAGGGTGTCCTCACGCCATCTCAGCGCCGGGCTGCCGGCAGTTTCATCCAGGCCCCTCAGGATTATTTTGATGCCACGCCAACCTTCAAGCAGTCCTATGCCCCTCAGTCTGGCCAGATCTTTGGGGTGCTGCGCCAGATGAAAGAGGAGTTCGAGAAGGACCTCAAGGACGCCCAGGAGAAAGAAACTGCAGCTCAGAAGGCATACGAGGAGCTGAAGGCCGCGAAGGAGGCTGAGATCGCAGCCGGTGAGGAGCAGATAGCGACAAAGACGGCGGAGCTTTCCGAGTGCGACGAGCGCTTGGCCCACAACAAGGAGGACCTGGACGACACCAAAGCGGCGCTCTCTGCGGACGAACAGTTCCTGATGATGCTGAAGGAGAAGTGCTCCATGACCGACAGGGAGTGGGAGGATCAGGGGCAACGATAGGGGGGAATAGGCATAGGGGGGGGGGCGCATCGATCCCCCATCGCCCATTGATCGCCGATAGGGGCCCGATAGTCCCAACCCGCCCAAGAAGGTGCGGATTCACTATCGGGGGCCTATCGCCGATCTATCGACGATGTATCGCCGATTGCAGGTCGATGTCCCCCCCTGTCGTTGCCCCTCAGAGGAGAGGCAGAAGACGCGCTCGCTGGAGATGGAGGCGGTGTCCAAGGCGCTGGCGGTCCTGAGCGGGGACGATGCGCACGACCTCTTCACGAGGACTTTCAACCCGGCGGGTGCCGCGAGCGGTGCGGGTGTCGCGTTGGTGCAGAGCGCAGCCGCCGCCCACTCCGCACGCCGCGACCGGGCTTCGAGGCTGCTGGATGACGTGGCTCGAAGGTTGCACAGCCCACGCTTGTCGTCCCTGGCGGTGCGCGTGCGGATGGACGCGTTCGAGCGTGTCAAGAAGGCCATCGACGACATGATCGCGGCGCTACTGCAGGAGAAGGAGGACGAGATCAAGCACAAGGACTTCTGCGTGGACGAGCTGAATCAGAACCAGCTGCAGACTGAGAAGAAGGAACGCGACAAGTCCGACACAGAGACGAAAATCGCGCAGCTGGAGGCCACCATCCAGAAGTTGTCAGAGGAGATCGAGGCACTCAAGGCCGAGATCGCGGAGATGCAGGTGCAGCTCAAGCGCGCCGGGGAGGACCGCGAGGCGGCCAACAAGGCGTTCCAGCTGACCGTGGCCGATCAGCGCGAGACGCAGAAGCTGCTCAGGGCAGCAATGGGCGTCCTGGAGGACTTCTACGGCAAGCAGGATGCCGCCGCCGCCGCCGCCGCCCTCATGCAGGCTCGCCGGCAGGAGCCCGCGGGCCCACCGCCCCCGCCCGGCTTCAAGGAGTACAAGAAGCACGCCGCGTCGAGCGGCGTCATGGCGCTGATCACGCAGATCATCGAGGACGCAAAGGCCATGGAGAAGGAGGCGACCGATGCCGAGCAGGAGTCGCAGGCGGCCTACGCGTCCTTCGTGGAGTCCACCAACGCCTCGATCAGCAAGAAGGCCAGGGAAATCACGAACAAGTCGGCGGAGAAGGCGAAGACCGAGATCGAGCTGGTCAAGGCGAAGGAGATTTTGAGCGAGATAGTCACGGAGCTGGAGGAGTCGAGAACCGACAGACAACATGAACATGCACCGTCGAGGGTCCGCGCGGGTTTCGCGGATCGGCGCTGCTTCCTCCCCCCCTGAAATTCCTTCACTGGCGCGTGGAGCGCGCCGGGGGGGCGGCGCCGAAGGCGCCGCCAAGGGTGTGGAGGAAGGGCTCTGGCACCGACCCAAGTCCGCGCGGACGTTCGAATGTTTATGTATACGTACGCGTCGTCGCCTGCGGAGGAGCTCTCCAACTACAACGCGGAGCTCCACAAGAGCTGCGACTTCGTCCTGAAGAACTTCGACCTCCGCCAGACAGCCCGCGACGAGGACAGCCACCCCCCGACGCCAAGCCGACGCAGCCCCCTCCCATCCTGCCCTCCCCGCCCTCTTGCCTCTCTCTCTCTCTCTCTCCCCCCCCAGACCTCGAGGTCCTCGACGATAGGGGGATCGAGCTTCTTGGAAGTTCGACGAACAAAAAACTGCACGAACGTTATTTCTCTGAGGTCCGCGGGGATTTCTTGGATCCGCGCTGCGCCCCCCCCTGCCGGCGCCTCCAGCGCCGCCCCTGTCGCGCTCCGCGAGACAGGGAGGGGTCCCAGCGCAGATCCAAGAAATAAGCGCGGACCTCCGAGGAGGTTTTCTGTTTTGCCTGTCTTATCTGGAAGCTGGAGCATATACATTGCCAGTGGCGGGCTGTTCTTCAATCCCCGGACTTTTTTTGAGGGTCGGCGACGACGTCGGGGTGGTGTGGTGTATACTTTTTCCCCGCTTTCCCGGGGAAGCAACGAAACATGTATACACCGGAAAGAGCGTGTTCTACCGCTGCTGGCGGAAAACCGGGGGGGGTCACTACCGGTTCGAACCCCTCCCCCCCCCCCCCCCTCTGGAAAACTGGGGGGGGTCACTACCGGTTCGAACCCCTCCCCCCCCCCCCCCAGTTCATCATGAAAAGGAGGGGGGGGCCACTACCGGTTCGAACCCCCCCCCCCTCGAACTCGAAAACCGGGGGGGGTGTCACTACCGGTTCGAACCCCCCCCCCTTCCCCCTCGAAAACCGAGTGGGGGTGAGTGGGGGTGCGGACAGTGGTGGGGACGGTGGTGGTGGGGACAGTGGTGAGGGGACAGCGGGACAGTGGTGGGGACAGTGGGACAGTGGTGGGGGCGGTAGTGGTGGGGACAGAGGTGAGGACAATGGTGGGAACAGTGGGGACAGTGGACAGTGGTGGGGACGGTGGTGGTGGGGACAGTGGTGTGGGGACAGTGGGAATGTGGTGGAAACAGTGGGACAGTGGAGGGTACAGTGGTGGTGGGGACAGTGGTGAAGGCGGTGGCGAGGACGGCGGTGGGACAATGGGACAGAGGTACAGTGGGGACAGTGGTGGGGACAGTGGGGACAGTGGTGGGAACAGTGGGACAGCTCAGTGGGACAGCGGAGGAGTCAGTGGGACAGTGGGGACAGTGGGGATAGTCGGGCAGTGGTTGGGGCCGTGGAGAAAGTGGGGAGAGTGGAACCGTGGTGGGAACAGTGGTGGGGACAGTGGGGACAGTGCGACAGTGGTGGGGGCACTGGTGGGGACAGTAGGGACGGTGGTGGAACCAGTGGGGACAGTGGTGGTGAGGACAGTGGTGCTGGGAACAACAGTGGGGGATGTGATGCGGACGGTGGTAGGGACCGGGAGTCGTTTGCTGGCGGCGAGGGGGGGGGGAGGGGTTCGAACCGGTAGTGACCCCCCCCGGTTTTCGAGGGAGGGGGAAGGGGGGGGAAGGGAGGGGGGGGGGGGTTGCCGGGGAGGGAAGGGGGGGGGGGGGGGGTCCAGCACGGGGGGGGATTTTCGGAGGGGGGGGGGGTGAACCCCGGGTTCCGGAGGAAGAGGGGGGCAATGTTCCACAGTAAAGCGGCGGTGGATCACGCTCTCTCATACACCAGGACCCCGTATACACCAGGATCCGCTTGTCTGTGCGAGTTTCAGTGCGGGGCCGGGCGGAGTATAGAGTTCGGCTTCCTATTGATGTTCCTCTAGAAGTGTTTGGCCCTTCAGGGATCCGTCTTGGGCCTCCAGAGGCCTCCGAGGCCTCTGGAGGCCTCCGGGGACCGCGGGGGCCCTCGGGAGGTCTCCGGGGAAGTTCCCAGCATGGTGGCGACGGGATCGCCGAAAGTCAGGAGGGGAAAAAACACACAGACGAAATTCATCGTCGATGTCCCAGGAAATAGGGGGAAATAGGGGGAGTGTGGGGGGGAAGACAAACACCCAGAACATATGAGGAACATGTGCGGAATCCTTTTATTCAAGGGCAGAAAAAACGCCCCTACCCTGGTTTACGAGGCGCTGTGCGCTGAAACTCCTGTGGGCTCACAGGGTAAACCCTGCGTGATGTGCCGCGTCCTGGCGGCTCTAGGCTTTGGGGGTTCCCAGGAGGTTTACAGACCACGCACTTCTAACCCAGGGTAGGGTCGTTTTTTTCATCCCTCATTTATGTGTGTGTGTGTGTGTATATTGATTTGTGTGTCCCAGGGCCCCTTTCAGAAAGTCCCGGGCTCCTTAGCGCTGTGGCAGCTCGCGACGGGGGTGGTTCTCGCTGTTCTCGACGGGGGCCCTCGCCCGACCTCTCGGGACCTTACACCAGCCTCGAACTCGATATCCCTCTCCCTAAGATTGACACGCCGAAAGGCGATGACAATCTTGGGGATGCACCCTTAAACAATTTTTGAGGGTGCATCCCCAAGATTGTCATCGCCTTTCGGCGTGTCAATCTTAGGGATTCCCTTATTAATAAGGGAATGCCCAAGATTGGGGATGCACCAATCTTAGGGATTCCCTTATTAATAAGGGAATCCCTAAGATTGGCATCGTGATGAGGAGGTGCCCAGCATATGGGTAGGGATATGTTCCAGGCTGGTAAGCCTTGGGACCGTCAAAAACGACTCAGGATGAAATACTGGTCCGGGGGAAGAGGTCGAGACCTGTGGGGGTCGACGTTTTGGTACAAATCACGACGTCGGGGGTCTGGGGTGGTAGTTCGGGGGCGGCTGCGGTCTCTTTGGCGTGGGGTGCTCCGACGGTGACCTCTCCGACATCCCCTCCTCCTCCTGGGCGGGTGGGTGCGCGAGTTTGTGTGTGGGTGTGTGTGGGCGCTGCCCGGTCGCCGCCGGGCTGCCTTTCCCCCCCAGCTGCTGCCCGGCGCCGCGGCTGGCTCCCCCCCCTCCGGCGCCCGCCCCGCCGCAGCCGGGACTTGCCTGAGCGGGCCCGGCTTCCTCTCTTCCCGCCTGCGCCGGGCTCTCCTCCTCTCCCCCCATGCATTGCGGCCCGATCTGCATCCAGCGCGCCCCGCTGAGCCCCCTAGATGGGGTCGGAGTAGATGGGGTCGGAGGATCGCGCCGCATCGCCGATGCATCGCTGATACGGCTCGATGTGGAGCCCGATTTGCTTCACGCCGACGTCGCCGATTCATCGCCCACGTCGCCGATGCATCGCCGGTGCATCGCCGATGCATCGCCGATACATAGGCGATGCGGCGCGATCCTCCGACCCCATCTACTCCGACCCCACCTGGGGGACCTCCAGCCCCACTGATGCCCGATCGTCGGAGCAGCAACCTCTGCCCAGCCGCCGACGCAAGAAAGTGTGTGTGTGTGTGTGTGTCCGTGCCCAGCCCAGCCCCAGCCCAGCAAGGTGTGTGTGTGTGTGTGTGTGTGCGACTGCCCAGCCCCTGCCCAGCAAAGTGCGTGTGTGTGACTCCGTCCGTCCGCTCTCCTCTCTGCCTCCGCCGCTCGCCGGCGCTTGCCCGCTGCTTCGCTGCCCCGGCCCCCCCCGGCGCCTCTCCAGGCCAATGCCCCGTGGGGGGCCCGCCGTCTCTGTTTTCCATGGCGTTTTTCTCCACGACCGGGTGCGCGCGCGGTTCTCCGCGCGTGCGCTGGACGCCATGGCGGTGCGCTTGGCCACGGCTGCTGTTTGTATCAGTATCTATATTCGTAGGTGTGTATACCAATGCATATATAAGTACATACATATGCATGCATACATGTACTTGTGTGCGCGTGTGTACATATATGTGTGTGTATGTGTATGTATGTATGCATGCATGCATGCATTCATGTATGTATGTATGTATGTATGTATGTATGTATGTATGTATGTATGTATGTATGTATGTATGTATGTATGTATGCTTGTATGTATGTATGTATGTATGTATGTATGTTTGTTTGTATGTATGTATGTATGTATGTATGTATGTATATATGCATGTATGTAATGTATGTATGTATGTATGTATGTATGTATGTATGTATGTATGTATGTATGTATGTATGTATGTATGCATGCATGCATGCATGCATGCATGCATGCATGCATGCATGTAGGTAGGTAGGTAGGTAGGTAGGTAGGTAGGTAGGTAGGTATGTATGTATGTTTGTGTATGCGTGTGCGTATGTCTGTATATATTCGCGTGAGTTTGCTGATTTAAATGTATGATTGTAGGATGAATTAATGTATGTTTGTATGTGTGTGTATGTGCGTTTGTTTGTATGTATGCATGAAAGCATATATATATCATATATATATATATATATATATGTGTGTGTATGTGTCGGTGTGTGTGTGTATCTGTGTGTAGGTGTGTATTTGTGTTGGCGCCTGGTCACACCTGCGGCCCGCCTGGTTTTTCCAACTGCTGCTCTCCAGTGGCCTGTGCGGCGTCGTTGCTGGCACGATGGGCCTGCGGCTGCGGCCTGGTTTTGTGGCCGTGGCTTGCTTCCTCCTCTTCCTCCTCCTCCTTCCTCTTGCTCCTCCTCCTCCAAGGTCAGGTATCTGTCCTGCGTGGGAGGACCGCGGCTCACTTTCCAAGTCATCAACGGCCCGTTCTTAGAGGAGGACAGCTGGTCGATGTGCGGAGCTTCGCGACGGAGGCCTGGAGGAGGGCCAAGGAGGAGCAGGCTACGGTGGCATGGCGCTTTCTCTCCAAAGCTTGGGGTCGGTGGGCGGTTCGTGCTGCGGAACGGATCGGGCACTTCACCAGCACGGAAGTGCAGGCTCACTCATATGCGCGCGCCCTCCGGCCGCAGTGGTATGAGAAGGAGCCTGAGAGCGTCACGGAGACGGAGTTGCAGGCTATCGCTGACATATGGAAGTAACTACAAGACAGTTTGCAAGGGCTGGTGACTGCGCGCGAAGGCGGTCGCAATGCAGCTCGGCATCAATTTTTCCAGGATGAGGTGCAGGGCTTCTTCGGTACGGACTACACCGGCCAGGACCTGAGCGCGAGGCTGGATCCGTTCAGCAGGCAGGAGGCTTCTCCAGCACTCCTGCGGCAAGGACGACCTCACC